CCCCACCACCCCGCGCCCCGCCCCGCAAAAAAAATATTTGTTTTTTATATTTTTAGTTCTAGATTTTTCATTTTTCAGTTTACAGGTTCGAAATTTTACTAGTCCAAAGTTATGAGTTTGGAAGTTTGCGGTAAAAATTACTATAAAGTTTACGAGTTCGAAAGTTTAGCGGTTCAGAAGTTTATAAAATTTGTGGGTTTGGAAGGTTGTTGGTTCGAAAGTTAAGGCTTCATGTTTATTGTATCTAAATTATTTATGAATACTTTTGAGAATTTATTTTTCTTAATTTGCGTACCAAACACCGGAAAATTAGTAAGATTACTACTTGTTTTTCAAGAAATATTTTCTTGAAAAACATTTTCCATTATACCAAACACACCCTTAGACTATTTCCATTTTCTTTCAATGTTCTTTTTCTGATTTTACCGTCTACAATGCGACATTCGGGCTACTTCGCCTAGTTTGTAATGCTCTCTCACAATCCCGTTTTCACAGTTTAGGGTGCTCCTATTTCACGGTTTAGGGTGCTCCGCTCTTTGGTTTTCTCACTCTTTAAGAATTTGATAATATACCAGAAATAAAAACTTCGAGTTTCGACTCTACTTCTATGATTGAAAAGTGTGGATTCTTGTTCCAAAATTTAAGATCTAATAGAAGGGGAATTCTTTATCTTCTTGTTTTCCATAAATAATGATGAAAATGGGTCAAAAGAAAATGAGTCAAAAAGACATTTGTTTCGACAAAGCTGCTGTATGAATTCCTAGGAATAGTTGAATTAGCAAACTCCACACTTCTACACATGATTTTGTGTGCGCACACAAGTTTATGTGCATGCGTATAAAGTAAACAATTCATTCAAACTTAATGCCCCTTCATAGCTTTTATAAGAAAAGAAGTGAAAAACTAGAAGCATATACCTAATAGTTTTGTTACCCCAAGTATTAGTTTTGTAGTCTAAAAAGGAATACAACTACTACATCTCAATTCCAATCAAATTAAAGTCAACTACATAAATCCTCATATCCATGCTGCTCCATTTAAGTTGAACTTCGTCTAATATTATGTAATTACAAATTATAAATTTTTAAAAAAAAACACTAGAATGTTCTTTATATTTTTCACTGATTTATAAATCTTTCGCAAAACGATAATGGAGGAACAAGAAGTTGGAATTAATAGCATAGAAATCCTCTAACATGGGCCAGAGGTGAAGTGTACAATATATTTAATGTTTTTCCAAATAAAGAAAAGATACAACTTTAAGGCTATAGTACAAATAACAACTCTTGCGAAGACAAAGAACAACTAAAAACACCAAACCTGGTCATTAAATTATTCCCCATCTCATTTTTCTAAGTGTAATCTTGTCGTTTCTTTCTTTCTGATACACATAAACAGACTCTTAAATATTATAAGAAGCAGAGTCTGCACAAGATTTAGTAACATCTTGGCTCATGGATGCTACAATATCAAAGGAAAATGGTGCAAGATCAAGAAGTTTTCGGAACGAAGACTACAACAACAGAAGAGTTTTCTTGAGGAGCTATCCACTTCACTGGGGAGATTCAGTGGAAGATGGAGAAAACAGAGAAGAGACTGCAACAGAAATGCCAATAAGTAAAGAGAAAACTTGCATGAAGAAGAAATTTATACTAGCAGTTGTCCATTGGAGAGGAGAAAGTGCTTTAATCTTTCGAAGGATCAAGCATAAGGTCACAGTTTACTTCATTACTTGTCTTCCTGTTGGATTTAAAGCTCCTACAGCAATGATTTCAGCTTAATATCATTTTGTCTACATAAAAACTGCTATCAGTAGTTGAAATTCCACCTACTTTACTAAGCATATATCATGCACAGTTATGTGTTATCAGTACAACCGAAAGGCATGTACAGAAGAGTGGAAATATAGTAAGATGGATGCTAACTTGAATAGAAATATGTACCTTGGTTTTATAGAATATATGGGCACTTCTTTCACTGTCCTGTACCTGAACAAGCAAACCTCCCATCTGCGTAAAACTGATCCACCAGTTAAATTAGTTCATGCTACCAGAAATAGCTTAAATCTCAGAAAAGTGCTTAATTAGTTTTGTATAGCTGTTCATGCAGACGTGATTATTTGATGCGTTTATCACTGATTTCGACAATTAGTGGAATGTATTAGTATGCAGATCAACCATGTGACTACTGTGCAACGTTCAACCTACCATTAGCAAGCTGTGCACTAACAAACACTGATTCTGTAACTTTGACATTTGTTGCTAGAATAGAAACTACTTCAACAAGAGCAGACTAGTTCATTGCTTTTACATAAGAGTTAAAAACTTTATAACAGAAATCTTATTCACAATAAGAGTTCAGACTAATTGTTTCCATGAACATATATCGGCACTAAAACAATTTTATCTTAAGCCAAGTCTCCAAAGTCTGATATACTCCAAATTGTCCACAGCCCCCACTGTCACTACCACCTCCCTGGATAAAGAAAATGGAGTTTATATGCCTCTCTTCATATCACAGAGGCAACACCACTTTCTGGCACAATATAAGATCGGATAGAGTCTTTCCATGCCTATCGATTCTTCTTGAGCAGTTCACACCTTCATCTAGAATATTACGAACCACAATATTCAAGGAATGGATCCCTCTGACTTCATAAATCTCCACCTTAACATGTTCATGAACCCATTTGTCTCTTCTTTCAATATCATCAGAAGTGGGGAAGGAAGAGGGATTAAGAAGCCTTGCGACAACTTTCTTTACCCATTCTTGAGTAACAATCTTCTTTAGCCTTTCAATATCTGGAGGAAAATATGGGATAAGGGAAAAGTTTAGATCATCCCCTTTATCACCAGCTCTGCTATGTGCGACATCATAGAGAGGAATCTTCCTGTCATGTGGAGCAGGGGACAGCTGAATTTGTGGTGCACCTTCTTTTTTGTTCAAAGCAGTTTCTGTTGGAATAGATCGCAAGACCGAATCATGGAAAGAACTGGTCTGCATTATGTCCTTAGGACTAGCCATATCATCTGATTGCATTATTTTGTTTCTTGTTGCTGTAATATGCCACTGAACATCTTTACGTTTTACCTGATAGATCATAGAAAACTCTTTAAAATTCAGTGTATACATAAGTTAGCATTTTACCATGAAGCAATCATTGAGAATTCAATAAAACAGCACACAGTAGGAACCACCTCACAATAGGAGAGAACTTTTATTCTTGTCTGTTCGAGAGAACTCTTACAAAATTAACTACCAGCAAAGTATACATATCACAACAGAGAAACAGTTTATGAGAGAGTGTCATGTCAGCATCATGCATAAACACTCACATGCAGACAAACACACAAACACACACATATAAATGAGATATAGGGAGAAGGAGATACCAATGCCTTCTCAAGAATGATCTCTTTTTTGTGTCCAGTGCTGCCGTACATAAAAAGAAGATGAAGAGCATTAATACATGTCACGTAAATATGTATTTAACATACGGAAGTACTAAATGAGCAAGAGATGATTTGGGGCAGGAAAACTGAGACACCTATCCATATTAAAATAACGAATTGCACGTCATGAATATATGTTTTGACATAAGCAAGAAGCGGCATTAAGTTTAGCAAGAGATAAACTGGGGAGTAATACTAAGACACATTTTCACATCAGACGATGACATGTGATCATATAACCTGCAGAAATAATGACTATTTCAAGCCTTTGATCATTGTGACCAAGAAGAGCAAAAACAGTTTTGCATATGGTAAAAACTCAACCATACACAATTATGCAGGTAAGGATTAGAAATACCCAAATTGCTGCTGCATCTAGACGTAGTCTTAAATTTTAGATGCCCTTAATGTGAGGGTTGAAATTGGGCGAAGAAACTGATCTAGCAAATGACATGAGACTGGATATTACAACTTCCAGATTGAAAACAACAGCGCAGATCAAATTGCCCATTAGAGCATATAATACCATGAAGTCCCTTTTCCTGACAAGATGGGTTCTCCAAAATCAAAAGAAAATTCACTGCGTAAATCTATCTTATAGGTATCTTTGGATAATAAATTTTCTTAATTTTATAGCTAACTAATGCTGTGAAATACTTTCAATTACTTAACTATTGAACAATGAATGTAACAGAAACTATTGAGTCATCTAGAAAATAACTAAAAGCAGTCTTCAATCCAACAATTTTCTGAAGTTCTATGACTCAAAAAATAATATGAACAGAGGATGAAAGAGACCTGATACCGCCACCACCAGCAGGTCCATTTGTATATAATGCTATGAACTCTTTTGTGAAGTGGATTGCGTGTTCCTCCTTCTCAAATAAACCATCCATTCGTAATCTGATATCTTGAATATCCCTAGGCAAATCTTCATCTATGCTGGCAGCCTTCAGGCTATCCAGTCCAATGATATAGGAAACTAAGTTTTTGTTTGTTCCAGGACATACTTCTTCCATCCATGATCTTACCTGAAAAAATGCAATTAGAAAATCAAAACTAAAAACTCTACACTTCTTAATCTAGCATTCCAGGAGCCAAGAATAAATTTAAGGAAAACCATAATAGCTGTCCAGGAAGGAGAAATAAAGACTTGTTACCAAAAATTCAGCAGCTTTAGCACGTTTAACACACTGATAACCACCATAGGATATCTCTCCCCAGCCTTTCCACCCCTTGTCCTGAAAATGAGGCAGTCGCCGAGTAAGAACAAACAGAAACATCCATCAATCCAGCTGTAATAAACAATTGCCTATAGAAGACACTTGCTGAAAGAGAATGGAAGGAAAATGATACTGAGAGCAGATAGTGATCTTAAAAGTACAAATTAACCTTTTGCGAACTAGCCAAATGAGATTATAGTGGTGCTACTGTGTTAGGGTAACACATCCAATAAAAGGTCGTATGGTCTAAAAGATGGTATGCAAAGTAACAATATTATTATATTAGGAGGGTAGCAAAATCCAAATTAATTATGAAATGGAAGTGTCGGTGAGAGCGTTGTTTGATGATGCATGGGATTCAATGGCTTCTATCTTGTTTTTGTTCATGAGATTAAGAGCGGCGGAGCAGATGGCATTAAGAAAACCAGTTACAGTTATATCTTTGGGCTGCATAAAGAAAACCGGTTACAGTTATATCTTTGGGCTCTTACGATTATGACCACCCAGATTCAAAACAAAATACTGACGAGTGGGACAAGGCAAGTGCAATGGGGTGCGTAGGTTATATTAACCAAAATGTTGCGGTAGGGACCACATGACAACAGAGAGGAAGAAATCCCTCCACTTTCTCTCTATGTTGCATATGAACACGGAGATTACCTTGGAGGCCAGTAGCAACAGTTTATTAGGAGCTGATGCAGATGGCTTTGCCCCAGCACAGAGGACTTTACTGCTTGATAATGTCTGAAATGAAACATCTTGAAAATCTACAACCTGTGCCAAGGAAAAGGCAAGGTAACACTCTTCTCTGATTGAAGCTTTTCATATTCTTTCCCTTTTCAATCTAGATAGCCAATACAACTTGCACATTTACCACATCAGGGGTTATGTAGCTACTAGGATCCCCCACTTCATACAGAAGTTGCTCGGCACACGTGCTGGGATTCAGAATCCCACCACTGTTTTCTGCCTTTTCTACGCATACTCGCCCATCAAAACTGACTTCCACAAAAGGAAGAGACAAATCGAGGAGATCTTGTAAAGATATATCACGGTATTTATCTCCTACAGTGACGAAAGTACAGTCAGCAAGTTACACGTGAAGTGACAAATAGACACAGCGGCAGAGTAAGAAAAACCAGAACAATAAGTAAGGCAAGCCAAAGGTTAATACTAAATAAAGAGGGAGTGAAGTCTTTTTCAAGATTATGGTTCAATAGGTATATTCAGAATCATTGAGATACATAGAGAAAAATAAAGTTCTCAAAGTGCATTTTATTGTAGCTAGTGGAAGGTAATCCCTCCAACCCTCAAAAACACCACAATATACACACATCATGCTCCCTCCTATAAAGATGCACAACCCAGAAATATTGCATGATATTGCAAATGAAAGGTTCACCTGGATGCATATAGTATCCTCCAGTAAGTTGACAACCACATTCTAGCAGGTGGCCAGCCAGTGAACCTTGGGCAAGTAGTTGCAACTCATCCCAATTCCAACCGAGCTCATATACCTGATTATAATTGGGGCCTTTAGATAATCTTCTAAAGAAAGTTGTAACTTATTTCAGTATTATTATATCAGAATAATTTTGTATTAGTATTGAAGAACTGGTGCAACAACTCTAGGAATTACCCCATAAACATTGACACAAAAGTATAACAACAATAACAACAGTAAACCCAGTGTAAACCCCACAAGTGGGGTCTGAGGAGGGTAGTGTGTACGCAAACTTTACCCCTACCTTCAAGAGGTTGTTTCCAGAAGACCCTCGGCTTAAGATAGGTATAACTAAAAAATAAATCTGGTTGCCTTCAGACCCAAAATGATCCAAGGCAGTCTCTAGGAGGAGAGTCTTTCGCCTAACTGTTAATCTACTCCAGTTGGCGATTTTGCTCACACACCGCATTTGGTTGCAGTAAGCTTGTTATTTTTCCTATCAAGCCTCAATACAACTGAAAACTTAAATTTCAGTTGGATCTTCAAGATTCATTAATTGATTAAAACACCACCAAAAGGCATCCTTTCTGCCTGGTTTTCAACTCTGATTATCTTTCACACCAACCCAAAAATCAAAAAGAATCATTCCAACATATCCAGTCTATTACAGTTTAAGACCGGCAGCAGGAAGAGATATGTAAAGAAGCCATGCCCCTGAGAACGTGAATTTGAAGACCTCACAAGCTTCTGCTTCTTTCACTTACAAGATAGCTTTGAATTATTTCGACCATCAAGTGGTGACAAGAAGGCAGTTTCCACCTTATACCCTCAGGTTGCAGCTAATTTCATATAAAGCTGAAGAATGCCCCTTCCTTCTAACACTCATACACCAGTGGAAAGTTGCAGGTGTCTAAGTGTCTGTTTTCATTCTAAGCTCTAGGATACGTCCATCATAATCATAAATATACTTTGACAAGCCAAACAAAAATTGAAAGGGAAAAGCTAACTTTGTTGTACACGAATTTGACTTCTTAAACAAATTTCAATGGCTTTAGATAATATCAGTTTTCAGTTGCTTAAGATGCGGAAAGTTGAGTGGATTTTCATAGTTATTGCTCTTAGAAATGAAGTGACCATAAATTATGCTGTGAAGGGATTATATTTGGTACTAGAGGTGAGCAAGCACTTTAACAAGTGAAAAGTTAAATGTGACTGTCAGGGAAATTGGAAATGAAAAAGGAATCTACTGTCGTACCATTGGGGCCAAAAATAAGGAAGCATCAGCAACTCGAGAAGTAATAATGACATTTGGTCTGAATTTCTGAAGACATTCAACGATAGGAGCTGCTCCTAGATACACACTAACATCCTGCAGAAAAAGCAAATAAAAGGGATGCTACTATAATCGTAATACTTATATAATCAAGGATCTGCAGAGCAGGGAAGAAATGATCACTCTATTAAGATTTAGCACATAAACCCACCTAGAATCATCAGAAAAATAAGAAACACGACCTACATAGTACAATTTTTGTCCTTGATGGAATAAATGATGCTGACTTATACAACTGAAAATACTGTATATTACCAAAATCTTACATCAACATGTCTAAGGTGCTCCTCCAAATCTGAATGTATCCCAAAAGAAATCTATAAGTATGACATGATTTTTCTGCTTAAAGGAAGAATGAGGAAATCGAAAGAAATTTGCAAAAACAATTAGTACATCAGTTTATTTTCATCTGTGATATTCTAACTACACCTGATCTGACAACAGCAACTTGATGAGCCACACCAACAGTTATGGAAATGCCTAGTCCACTTGCAAGTTGTAAGACTTCATCCCGGGCACCAAACGGATCATCTATTCCCCATATTGTCAAAGAGAAAATATTTATTCTTTGGCAAATACAGAGGCAATTTCTACACAAAAACAAAAAAGAGCAAGAAAGACAGAGGAAGGAAATTTAGGTATATCACATACTCGCACCCATGTTTGTAATAATGCAAACTCCATTCTCCACAACCAAAGGTAAGAGCAGTTCCATCCACTCTGAGACTGTATCAATGTTTGTAGTTATCACCAAATAGGCAAGTTATCACATTTCTAGCATACTGATGAATAGACAAACCAGACACAGGTACTTGAGATGCATATTTGTAATGACACAAAACAAACTACAGTATGTGATAAGAAAAACATACTACGGGGATCATAGCCCTTGCCACCAGACTTCATCGCCTGATAGCGCTCAGCAAGGGTGCGCTCGGCTAGGCATTCCAGCACTAAATAATCCAACTCTTTCGCCCTCTGAAGTAGTTTTAAAGCTGCTATTGGTCGATCACCTCCAAACCCAGCACCACAACCTATGTAAACCTTTTCCTTTCGCCTTTGAGGATTCACCCTCTGCAATTTCACGAAGTATTTTACATGTCATTAGTTTCCTTTTCCTTTTTATCATTCCCATTGATGTGTGTAGTATTTTAAAAAAACTAACCAGTCTGATCTCGCAGTCATAAATCTCAGGTGTGTCACCGCCTAGTTCTTCCATTGGAACCTGGTAAGTACAACACCATGATCAAGCACTAAAAAAGGATCTTGCTATTAAAAAATTAGCGAGAAGTGTTCATAGTGAGGTGCAAATTTTATTCATATAAACAACTACATGAAATGGGCAACTTCCATCAAATGAAATTGTTATAACTACCCCTTTCAATGGTTCAATCAATTCCTTCTGCTTAACACTGCTGCTAATTGCTAAAAATCTTTTGATTTGCTATTCACTTCATATTGAAGCCGGAAGTTGTTAAAAGGAGCAACTTTAATCACTTCTTTTCTGTAAACCATCTAGTTTAATCTTAAACAACTACTACTTGGGATCATCTAAACAAATTTATGGATTTTATCCAAAAAAACATGCAAACATACTGATATCAAAAGAACAGAAAAGCAAAAGAAACCTTTCTTAACTACACAGTAATTAATGCACAAAGGAACAGAGATGCAACATAAACAAGAATTCAATGAGAAAAGGATTGGGAATCTTGAAATTACAAACCCAGATTGAAGAAGATGCAGAGTTGGCAGAAGTTGGTTTGTCTTCTCGTTAGAGAATTTTGTCACTGAGGGATAACTGTTGCAGTCGTGGCAACGCATATCGTAAAGTTTGTAGGACCAATTTAATAATTGTACTATGCCTGACGGAGTAAAATAAAAAGTTCAAGGAAACTTTGCCAAAATTGCATGTGTTAAGTTAATAAATAGAAAAACTAAAAGAAATATAAAATATTAAAATGAAATAGTTTAAAATTAACAAGAAAGATTGGTGATCAAAGAACAATACAATTTTTGAAAAATGAATATTATATCATAGCCAATAAAAAGCAATGTTAAACTATACATTTTAAATTGCTTAAAAAATCTTAAACAAAATCAATGTTAAATCATAACCCATAAAAAGTTTCAGAATTTTTTCAACTTCTTAATATTATCCCAAGAAGTATGTTCTTAATTATTTAAAATTGCTTTTGAGTTGAACTGTGTCCATACGGGGGCAAATTTCTTTCGGCTATATTAAGTGCCAGGAAAATTTTGTTTCTTTCCTTTTTAATTTCTATTGCTTCTATTCCTATACTATACTATGAGTGGGAATAAGCAGGCAGCTGATTCTCAAGGTATTTCTGTAATTTCACAAAAAATTAGCAGCCTTATTGACTAAGAAAGGGCATTATTGTAGCTGCCAAGTTAAATTTTATGTGCCTTGATCAAATTACCCATTTTTTCCATCGTAGCTTCTTTGCCTAACTTTGTACCTCTCGTGTTCCCACCTTCACCCAATCGTTTGTGTATACCGTCAAACCTCTCTATAAAAGCATTATTTGTTCCGAAATTTTTTGGCTTTTATAGCGAATGGTTGTTATACACCTATAACATCATTTGACTTTTAAATATTTTTTAGCTGTTATAAATAAAACTTATCAAAAAATTAATTATTTTTCTTTTTTAATGTTACATATAAAAGATAAGAAAATTCTTTAAATTTAAAATCTCAGAAGATATGTATTTCACTAGGTATATATCGAAGAAAGCTAATACATTATTAATAAATTCATTAACTAAATGTACAAAGATATAAACTCTAAGGCACACATTTTAAAGATATTAGAAAAATAAATTCTTTCAAGATTGATGGAAGAACTTTATAATTGTTGTTGTTTAGTAGATTTCATTCTCTTACTACCGATATAATGCTTGAATTGACGAAAATCCGTGTCCAAATTTTCAGCAAAAAGGTATCTAATGAAAAATATATCATGTGTAGATCTTCAAATCTTGTGTCTTATGCAAGATAGAAACTTTGTTCAATGGAAAGATTGTGTGCATACTTTTAGAATTGTTATTAGTAATCTTAAAGATTCTATATAGTTGTTACAGAGAGATAATTTTACAAAGAGCGTTCTACTATAAATATAGATGTTGTTGTTATATGTAAAAAGCTGTTATAGAGAGGTAAAATATAACTTAAAAATCGATTCTAAGGAAAACTTGGCTTTTATAGTGAATAGCAGGGATTGTATCGACCCGACCGGTCGTTTCGACTTTTAGAATCCTGTTTCCCTAAATAAAACTCCCCGAATATGTTTTTAATAATTTATAACTTGCGGGGATGGTTGGTTCGGGATTTGGATGTGTTTGGGTTGAAATCGGAACACTTGGTTCCTTAAGTTAACCTTAAAAGCCCAAGTTTGACTTCGGTCAATATTTTTAGAAAATGACTTCGGAATCGGGATTTGACGGTTCCAATAGGTTCGTATGATGATTTTGGACTTGGGCGTATGTTTGAATAGGGTTTTGGATAACTCGGGAGCGTTTTGGCGCTTAATAGTGAAAATCAACTATTTGAAGGTTTAAAATTCTTTAAATTTGGTTTGGAGTAGGATTTTGAGTAATTGAAGTCCGTTTGGAATTTCAAGTTTGGGAATAGTTCCGTATAGTGATTTAAGACTTGCACGCAAATTTTCGTGTCATTCCGAATAGTTTAAGTATATTTCGGCGCATTGGAAGTAAATTGAAGAATTTGAAATTCTTAAGTTTGAATCAATTTGGTTTAGGAAATGATTCTTAGATTTGATGTTATTTTACGCGTTCCGAGAGTTCGATCGAGTCCGTTTTATGATTTCAAACCAGTTGATATGTTCGGACGGGGCCCCGTGGGTCCCGAGTGTTAACCGGACGAGGCTCGGACCAATTTTGGAAAATTGAGCAAGGACTGAATCTCCCATCTACTGTCATAATCGCACCTGCGCTTGGACAGCCGCAGGTGCGAGCCACCAATCGCAAGTGCGAAAGAGAGGAGCCTAACCATCCATCGCAGATGTAGAGTAATTTGGCGCACCTGCGAACGCGCAGGTACGAAGGTCTTGTGCGCAGAAGCGGAGGGATGCACAGGTGCGAAGGAATGGGCGCACTTGCGCTTGCGCAGAAGCGAGCTCTTCTTCCGCAGGTGCGGAACCAGGAAAAGAGGGAAAATGCGCACCTACGAGGAGTTTTCGCAGGTGCGAAAGCCGCATGTGCGATACTCCTTCCGCATGTGCGAAAAATCTGTCTGGGCAGAACCTCAAAACGGACGAAAACTCAGTCCATTTCTTTCTATTTTTCATCCATTGTTGGGCAATTTCAGAGCTTTTGAGAAGGGTGTTTCAACTAGCAATTGAAAGGTAAGTTAATTCCACACCCCTTGAGTTAAATACATAGATTATAGGTAGATTATAACTAGTAAATCTTAGAAATCAAAGATTTAGATGAAAAACCTAGATTTTTATAAAAATGAGATTTTAACCACGAAAATAGTTATAGAATTGGGTAGAAATTATATATTTAAGTTCTTGAGATTATGGGTAACGTTTTCATCTGAAAATTTCCAGAATCCGAGCACGTGGGCCCGGGGTAAATTTTAAAAATTTTACCATTTTGGATAAGGTAATTTATTTAATAGATAAATTTCGAATCATTTAGCATATATTAATTATTGTGTATAATATTTAGATAGTTTCGGATCTTTCGGCATCGAATCAAGAATTCAACGCGACGTGATAATCGAAAAGTGGACTTTGAGACGAGGTAAGTCTCTTGTCTAATCTTGTGAGGGGGAAATTACCCCATAGGGATTAAGTTGAATAATTATTGCTAATTGCAGGGGCTACGTACGCACGAGGTGATGCGAGTCCGTGCGTAGCTACTATTAATGCTACAGTCCGGATAGTTTAGGACTCAAAGCATGAATTACATGTGTACATTGTATTCTTTGTTTAATTAATATTAATTGATATGTATATATGAATATATTATGAATTGTTAGATAAAGATATTAAAGGATGTAAATCTCATATGCTTGATTTTCTGTTTAAATTAATTAATTGTCAAAAGAAATTGTTCTTCCTCCCGAATGTATCCTATAATAAATATACTCTCCTTCCGGAGGTACATAAAAAAAAGTCCTCCTTTCTTGTGGAGCGGGCCGAACGCCTCAGCAGGATAGATGCATCTATGGATCGCGTCGCACGTTACTCGGCAGTGTACACGACACTGTAGATCGGGTCGTACGCCCTCGGTAGAAATCGTGCTTAATAATAATAATTACATGATACCTTAATAGTTTATTTCAGCTTGCGAAACTAATTGATAAATTGAAAATCTTTGAAATTTAATGAATTATTATTCCTGCTTGTTAAGGAATTATTGTTATTCCCGTAAATGAGACTAATTGATAAATTAAAAATTTATTGAAATTAAATTGCAGCTTGTAAAGCTATTTGTTAAATTGGAAGTTTTATTGAAATTTCATGATTTAATTAATAAATTAAAAATTTGTTGCATTTGAAGGATTCTTATTATTTCTGCTAATTGAATAAAATTATTATTAACTTTGTGAACCATGCTGATTTGAATAATTATAATTTATTTTAATTATTATTATTGACCCATGGTGAGTGTCAAAGTCGGTTATCTCGTCTCTACCACTTCGAGATTATGCTTGATACTTACTGGGTACACGTTGTTTTCGCACTCATACTGCACTTGTTGCATATTTTATTGTGTAGGTACATATATGTATAGCGGCCTTGTGGGCGCAGAGGTTTGGTTAATAATTATGAGTACATGGGTGAACTGCATTCTATATTACGATCCGCAGCTAACAGAGTCTCTTTCATAGTTATTATATTTTTCTGTCTAATTTGTATTCTGGACAGATGTTGTATTTTATTTTTAATTCCCTAGTAAATGCTCATGCACTTGTGACACCGGGTTTTGGGAATGGTTGTGAATTGTTTAGAAATTTAGCTGCAAAAATATTTATCATTTACTCTATGAGTTTTATCTCTACAATTTTATTAAAGAAATTTTTATTTCAAAAATACTAAAATGGGTAATTAAGTTAATTGATTATGGTTGGCTTGCCTGACAGTGGTGTCCGGTGCCATCACGGCCTTTTTGAATTTTGGGTCGTGACAACATGGTATCAGAGCACTAGGTTCACGTAGGTCTCACGAGTCATGAGCAAGTCTAGTAGAGTCTTGCGGATCGGTACAGAGACGTTTGTGCTTATCTTCGAGAGGCTACAAGGCTGTTAGGAATACTTCCCTTCTTGATTCTTCATCGTGTGATTCGATACCTTTTAGGCTTATGCCTATATTTCCTTCATATTCAATCTTATGCGACGTGAAACGCTTGTTATAAATTGGGGATCGAGGAAATTTTTAATGGTACTACAGATGTAGTGCAGGATGCTTCTCCCTATGTAATTAATTAGGCTATTGTCGTCACCTTGCGGAAGGCCGCTCTATCATTTCAGTTCAGTATCAATACTACCTAAGGTTTTGAGATTTGGCATTGATTGTTATGACGATTCATGCGTTGTTATCGCATAGTGTTTATGTAATGGTAGAATGATTGTCTATGTGTCAGGGCAGTAAACGACTTGAAAGAAGTTTTTTTCTCAGTACATGATTCAGGGGTTCCATGTTTTAGTTCTAGCGGAGAAAAGGCAATCGGACTATGAATGTTCATGTTTGGGGTTGATGGAGTAACGAAACTTGATATTTTCGAGTGTGATAGAATTCTCAATTTTGATGTGGTGTCATCACCTTGTAAAATGCGTTAAGGTTCGCCAGTGTTATGATTTT